AAAAAAAAATTTAAAATTAAATCACATAAACCATTTGAGACAAGCATCAAGTCCCTTCAATTACATGCATGTGTCATGGTTGACATTTTGGGAGGGTCTTCTCAAATCCAGCTGGCTTTGTTTTCTTTCTCCCTCCACTTTACACCTGACCACTGAGCCAAGAGAGCTTCGCTCATGGCTGGTGTAACCATCAAGTGACTTCAGAGGTCACAGTGCAGAGAGTCACTCTGCATCACCAGTCTCCACAGCAGCCCAAAGCACCTGAGAACCCAAACTGCATTGGCATTTAAAAGAATTTCTCATTTACTAAAGGGAATGTTTAAATTTCCTGTAAGGGAAAAATAACGGTGAATCACACTGTCAGTTGTTCCACTGCATAAAGAATGGATCACATCATTAAAAAAACCCATCAGAATTAGGTTTATGTGTAAAGTACCTAGAATTTTTTATAAAATGACAACACTTGATGAGCTTTGACATTTTAAATAAAAAAAAAAGCAAACACTTTAAGTGGTATTGGTCATTGATGCATGTAAGAAAACATATTTAAAGCAAAGAGTTACAGTAGCTCTTTGATATGGAAAATAGTATTTTTTCAATGGTATTTTTTTTTCTGTACTATTTAGAGAATGGTTTATTAAATCTAAACATACAGCAGCTCTAATACGTTCACAGCAATCTGCATAGTGTCACTAGGACCTGTGTGTCACCTTGTGGACGTGATTCTCCTGGACAGCTTAGAACCTGTGAATGATGTGTGATCATTTGTGAACTAAAAATAATAGAAATAAACCCAAACACAGCACTGAACTACCAACTAGGAAGAAAATTAACTGCATCCCATCCAAGACAAAGACATTCCCTTCCTTTGAGTTCTGCTACAAAATAAATGGAAACATCATTTGCCAAGAAACAGGCCAGCTGTTTTCCATCCTTAGGGTCTCAGATACATCCTTCTCTAAGACCCATAAGCCTCCTGAATATCTGCTTTACATCTTCACAGCCTCATGTACATTCTTTCACATGACCAACAAGCCTCCTGTACTCATATAAAGTACTAAAAACTACTAAAAAAACCAAAAAAACCCTTTTAATTAGTCTTGTCTTGCTTTCCTCTCACCCTCAGAAACAGCCAGCCTTTAGTCCTCATTTCCCTCAGGGCAGCAGGAAGTACAGGTCTTGTAGATGCAATTGAAAACAACTGTTCAGTCAACACAAAGGGAGGTAAAACTTAAAAAATGCAAGGTGCTTGTAGAACACAGCTAAGATCAAACAATGTCTTCAGCTTTAATAAATTTTTAACATCTGTTCAGCTTTTTACTTTTAAACAATCCAGCCTTACTTCATACACAGAAGGTACTAAGCAGCACAACAGCTACTGGCTATTTCCTATTAGTTCTGTTTTGTTAACAAAGAACTGACGCATGCTTGTTGGCATGGAACACTTGTACAAAATATGCAGTGGAGAAAGAAGTACAGTTTGTAGGAGAAGCAGCAATCATATTGAAGATGACAGCTAAGAGGATTACAATCTCAGCATTGTTATGTTCCCTATGCCTCCAGGATCCCAAAGCAGTGCCCCGGGCAACAAATGCAGGACAGCACTGCCATGCTTCCCTCCAGGTGGTCTCTCTAGGCCTCCAGAGCCCTCACTAATCAAATTCTCGATGAGGTGGTGGTCTGCTGAAAGCAAAACAAACTCTGCCCCCAAAAAAATTAAAAAGCACAGTTGTTTGTGGGCTCTGTGTGAGGCACTCTAAGTAGCTGTCCATAATTCTTCAAGTGTCTGTGCTAATACCCAGTCAGACACCTGGTCACAGCCTAAGAAAAAGCGAGACATTGTCACTACAAGAGCGGTGACTACAAGATTTAGTGTCCGATTTTACAGCAGGCTAAGGGTCACAGCTCTTGGGGGAAAAAATCAAAAAAGTAGAGAGATTATTCCAAGTAGCTGTCTTATAAATTTTAGAAAATAGGGATGTTCTTGAGGCATGAAGAGGATGAAGTCTGTTCTTTAGCCAGCTGAGCTTTAATATTGATGGGAGAGGTTTATCAGCCATGTGGTAGCAGGCTGATATACATTGACTAATCCATTTTGAAATCCTAAGACAGAAAATAGCTTGCCCTTTTACAACTGCCAAAAATATACACAAAAATATGAAGCAACAGCTTACAAGGCTTTGCCTTATTGAAGCAATACAAAGAAGCCTGAAGTGTGGAGTGTGATATTTCATCCCTTCCAAAATTAACTGTCTTTTTGGGAAGAAATAAAAAAGAAACTCAAGTTCATAGGTGATGTGAGAAGACAGCATCAGGTGCCCTAATGGGTCCTTGCTCTTACAGAGGGTAAGTGACAGGAGCTGCTTGGCCATCCCAGACCTCACTGGCCATGGCCTGTACCTATGGCAAACCAACATGGGCCAGAGCTGTGCTGCCTCTCATCAACAGACATGTGGTGTGCAGGGGAACAACTTGCTTTGTGTTGTGGAGAGTTACCATCTCTCAGATATGTTGGGATGAGCTAATTAGCTGTATGAACAGGGACAAGGAAGAAGATGAACACATTGCCTAGGAGCAATCAGCAGTAGGACAAAGATGTGTAGCAATATTGCTCTTTTGTGGTCTGCTTGAGAGCACTCGGAAAGTACAGCAATGGAGAGACCAACTGATCCAACTCATCAGTCTGGTCTAGCACATTCACAGAAGAGGGATACAGGTATTAGCCATAGAGGAACTTCAGCTCCTTCAAAACTCTATAGAAGAATTTGGCTTAAAATAAAGATCAATAACGGCACATGTTTCTTTTTAACAATATTTTCCTATGTAAAATGTGTTTTCATCTACAACTTTACATTAAAACAACTTATACTAAAAGGGTTAGTAGGATTTGCCCTTTTGAAAACTACTGACCAGATGAGGTCACCATTTGCAGTTTGCTCAAGTCCAAAAGCAGATTTCAGCAGTAGAAGCCTCTTGTACAGGTACAAAATGATTACTTTTTCCGTTCTGTCTCAAGATAGCATGCTCCAAATCCCTAAAGCTGACCTAAAGGTTAGCAGCTTGGTTCTTCCTCTATTAAAGATAAAGCAACAAGGACAGCTACTTGTTCAAAAGCCCTAGAGGGACTCAGCTTGGTTACTAAAGTAATCCCTTCAGTCCACAGATGACAGAACCCCTTGACATAGAATCTGTGGTAGACTTCTTTTTATGTATTTTGTATTTTAGTGCATTTACATAAATTAAAACCACCTTAATATTAGAATATTCTACAGTTCCATCGTAAGCCTGCAGTTGAATGGCAAGAGTAAGATACCACTATTAAACTGCACGTGTAACTGAAACAAGATAGGAATTTGGCAAACATACACAGAAATATGAAGTAATTGCATATGCTTATCTACCTGGTTAGCAAGTAAAGTGCCAGACTAAAAGCAGTGGCTATACATAACTACTGTCAACTCATTTTAATGGACAGCTGTTAAAGAAAAAATATTTATTTAAAGTATTTGTTTATATTTATTCAACACCTTTTTGCCCATCTGTTCACACATTTTGACTATTGAAATCAAAGTTTTAAATCGTTATAGAAATTTTAAAAGTTATTTGTATAATTTACAAACTTTCACTATCTATATGGAAAGAAATAGTTTAATATATTAATATGTAACCAAAGATATTTAATTTGGAGAAATAATATTAAGCCATTGAATGAATTATTTATCTTTGCCACATAAAGTTCATTTTGCTATGGAACAGCTGGTTCCAGCTGGTTTTCAGCACCAACAGGTGCTGAAAATCAATTCCAGTAAAGGTAATTTTCTCTTTAGTATAGAGGGACAAGTAACAACAAAGAACACTTCTAAATTAAGCCACAAATATTTGTCCACTCCACCCAGATCCCAGGTGCTTGTCATACAGCACACCATCACTGTTTCCCATGACGTGGCAAACCACAAGCAGTGAGCATGTTTGTGTGGCCTTATAAATTCACATATGCCACACATCCTGCACATCTCCCTAAAAAAAATAATCCTTCCCGATATTTTAAATGACAACAAGTTCATCATTTGCTTAATGATCCTGCTTATCTTTCAGTTATGCAACTACACAACTTGGGTGTGACACTAAAGGACATAATTTTGCAACAGACACATCATCTGCATGAGATATGTTTGTAAACAAGAGCGTCACTGACATTTGTAAGGTACAGGTCATCATAACATTCAGTTTCTCCCCACTTTTCATGCTGGTAACAGGACGGTATGATTGAAAAAATAAAGCCCCTATTCATCACAATAAGATGAAGCTGATAATGCCTACTTCTCAACACTCGTTTAGGGGAAAGCAGGGGCAGGACAGCAACCCACACAAAAACCCTACCAGCCCCTACAAGCTGCGAAAGAGGTTTTCCTTTGGCAGTGTCAGGCCTCCGGCTGTGCAAGCAGCTCCCAGGAGGTGAAGCCCTGGCACAGCTGGTCACAGGCCGCTTCTCCAACACAGCCATACCGGGGGTTCACGACTGTTTGCTTCCTAGGAATCAAAACCTTCCCTTCCAGCGCTATTTCTCCACATCTCTTGAGGCGTCTCCCTCACTTCAAGGATGCAAAAGAAAACCCAGGAGTTATACGCATGAATTTTAACATGCAAACATGTGCAAACCAAACATGTGAACACAGACACGCAAGTAAATAGAGCCTGTACAGCAACATTTCTGCAAAACAAACTGACGCCACACAGGCAAAGTTACCCTTGGCAAGCCGTCCCCTCACACGCACCTATTCAGAGAGAAGGCGATGCCCGGGGCAACAGGGCACGGCCACCTGACTAAACATCCAAAGGTACGCTTCCACGAACCACCAACAATGCGTGGGCACACAGACAGAGACCTGGCGGACAGGGTGTTTTGAACCGAAATGCAGTTCGGATGAAGGTTTCAACGCCATTGCACTGCGAAAGCGAACCGAACGCGGCCGGCCTCCGCCTGAACGCCGCCACCGCCCCGGCNACCGCCCCGGGCCCGGCCCCGGAACCGCAGCCGTGAGGGGACGTGGTGCTGCGGCGTCCGGGCCGCGCTGGCTGCGTCGGTGGAAATGCCCCTTCTGCGTCCCGGCTCGGCTCCGCATCGACCGCGGAGGTGATGGGGCGAGGTGCCTCCGGGTCTCGGTGGGTTTGAAAGCTGGGGGCTTGGAAAAGGGGCTTCCAGGACCCTACAGACCCAACGCACTCCCCGCCCAACAGACTTCACTCTAAGACTTTGGAGCATCTTGTTGATTTTCAGGATCATGAAATACTGAAATGGTGTCATATGTCAATTATTATTATTTTTGGCAAGAATTACCAGAAAGAGCTCGACTTGATTGCCACCTTTTCCATACCACAGTGACAGACAGGTATTTACATCAACTGTTTCTCTTCCACCTTGTTATAGGTGTAATACACTTGTGATAGAACTTTTAAGAACATATAGCTCAGAAAATATATAAATTAAAGTGGTCAGAATCTCAGCAGTCTCCATTTTGTTTCAGTACAAGCTGTAAATAAGAAACAACCTCTTATGTACTTCAGCATAAATTTGAAGTTTGTATCTGGCTCATATTGTCCCTAATTTCATCTGTGAAATGAATTGTTCTTAACTTCATGTTACTTTTATATTCTTCATAATCATCTTTTAAAAAATAATTTTTGTTTTGATGTGTCAGTTCCCTTTTCCCCACTTTTATTGAACAGCAATGGCAACAGTTAAAAATTAAAACATTTGAGTAGGTACTTATTTTTTGCCTCATCAAGTTCTCACTGTTACAAAATAATGTGTTTAAGTCTTTCTGTTCTATTGCATGGTGATGTAGTAACAGCAATAAGAAAGCAACTTTACCTCTCCTGAACAACTAGCAGATTTCCAAAGGGGCAAAGTGATTGTCCTTTTAACAGGACAAAGCACTATGGATAATATAAAGGGTCATTAATGTATAGGGAAAAGATGGACAGATCAGACCTTGTGGTTCCCTCTTACAATGAAAGCACCCTAAGGTACATTAAATGGCCAACAACTCTTGATGACATTTCAGCATTTCTGGCTAAGAATGATCTGACCACTTGAGATGGTGAGTTGCAGGCACTGGCTGTTGTGTTCACAAACTGTTTTGGTCATAGTATGCCCCATCTTTCCTCGTCTTCTGGAGCCACCTTACTGTGCAGATGGAGAAGGGCATTGGGACAATTTGTCGCTAAATTGTGCCCCTCCCCAAAGTAGGAGAAAGGTATTTTCCATTCAGAAATCTGGATTTCAATGTAAAAAGTTCTGGAATCAATTTTAGTTGAAGATGTTTTTTCTAAGTTGTATTATAACATGAATAGTATAAAATGGTAGTTCTTATGAGCTACTTAAGCATAATGCAGAGTTCAGCTTTGCTTTCTGGGCTCTGGCCTTTGACCCTTGGATGCACTTGCAGTGACATTTTATATAGTTCAAGGAGGAAGCACCTGCAGTTAATGTGAAACTTGGGCTTTCAGCTAAAAAAAGATGACAACTAAGCACTATTGAAAATGAGCTGAATAGACTTAAAGCAAGAGAAATACCCTGAAAGGAGGTTCACATTTTCCCCATTTAAGTAAGCTACAGAGCAGCCTGGCTGGGAGCTGGGGGAATTGCCATGAGGTATTGTGCAGAACCAGCAGTTCAAGAATGCTTTAGTTTTCAAATGTACTATTAGTTAAAAGTCAGAGCTGCAGGATGGGAATGCTGCCAGATGAAACTGCTGATTCCTGCAAGGTAGTCAGCATACAGTTAGAGATCTGGGGATTAATTCCCAACCCCACATGTCAGCAGCTGCTTGGGCACATGAGGAGCTGGCACTGCAGAGCTCTTGCACAGTCCGTGTTGCCAGTCCAGAAGCAGCAGCCTCCTTCCTCTTCCTGCCTCTGGTTAAAAATACCCTTTGGATTTTTCATCTGCCTTTTGTTTAGACTTTTGCAGGAAGAAGCCATTTTGTACTAAAACTTGTAGGGTTTTAAAACCAGTCACCAAATATAGTAGCAAAATTGCAGTCAAATCCTACATGCTGGCAGCACTTCATGTAGCTTGTGTATCCTGTCATATGATCTAACTTGGTGAAAAAATAAACATGCTCAGCTGAAGCACTTAGAAACTGAAAGTTTGCCTGAACACTTCTGCAACAAAGATTTTGTTATTTAATGCCACACTGAATCTGTGCTGAAAGTTTTTACTCAAGTTATTTGTACATTTTTCTCTAGTTATTTTTGGATGAAAACCCTGATAGATCCACCTAGCTTCAGAGCAAAGGATCATTTAGGCCCTTTTGGTGCAAAAAAAATATTACAAATTTAATTACAGTCAAAAGGTTTGATAAAAGGAGTAATTTTTCAATTGAAGGTGTTTTTACTGTGAAAGAAAGTCAGAGTAAACATGCGAGCAGAAATCTGCTGAACACTAGCAGAGTATGGATACAGATTTCTGAGCTGATTCCTGAGGCTCACTTTATAGCTGATGGAGAGAACTGGGAATTCCTCTTGCCTGGAATGGATGTTAGCTGTTCACCAAACAAATCATGCTTTAAAAGTTCCTGGATTTTTCAGTTATCTTCAAAGGGAGATTAAGCTAAGTCCTCTGTGTTCTAGACCACCCTAATTAGGTATTTTTCTATGTATGTATGTATGTATGTACAGCTGCATCTGATATACATAGCTCTCTATACCTGAGAGAAATGGATCCTGCATTTCCCCTCAGTTTAAAAGAATTACAAGAATTGCAGTCAATATAGCCTCTTATTGTTAACAGTAAGATCCTTGAAGAACTGATTTTAAAGGTTTAAGAAGGGAGCTCAGCCAGTAGGAATGGGAATCAGAAAGGTCAACGTGCAGAGTTGGGGAATGCACACTAAGAAGTATCCAGCAGGAGCCCACAAAGAGGGAGTTACTCCAAAACCTCACATTTCTCTGGGAGGCAGAACACCTGACTGACACAGGGATTCAGTTTTTGTACAAAGGTCTGATGTGTCAGTGTTTGTTCTTACAAATCTCAGGGAATTATGCTAGGTAATGTGACACTGAACTACTATTTATTTCTCTGTGCAGGTCATATAATTGTATGAGATGAGTGTATAAATAGTTAGGTGATTACCTAAAGTCAGTTTAGAGTGGGGATTGTATGCTTTGTAGGCAGTCTTGTAAATTCAGCTACAAATTATTTATTCTAGAGAAGGTTTGAAATCACAGAAGCTTACGATAATACAGTAGTTCTTTGTACAGAGTAATCACACCCTGCTTTTAGAAATTCACAAAATGTAGAAGGGTTTGCCTCATTTATTATGCTAGCCTTTNGCGGAGGTGATGGGGCGAGGTGCCTCCGGGTCTCGGTGGGTTTGAAAGCTGGGGGCTTGGAAAAGGGGCTTCCAGGACCCTACAGACCCAACGCACTCCCCGCCCAACAGACTTCACTCTAAGACTTTGGAGCATCTTGTTGATTTTCAGGATCATGAAATACTGAAATGGTGTCATATGTCAATTATTATTATTTTTGGCAAGAATTACCAGAAAGAGCTCGACTTGATTGCCACCTTTTCCATACCACAGTGACAGACAGGTATTTACATCAACTGTTTCTCTTCCACCTTGTTATAGGTGTAATACACTTGTGATAGAACTTTTAAGAACATATAGCTCAGAAAATATATAAATTAAAGTGGTCAGAATCTCAGCAGTCTCCATTTTGTTTCAGTACAAGCTGTAAATAAGAAACAACCTCTTATGTACTTCAGCATAAATTTGAAGTTTGTATCTGGCTCATATTGTCCCTAATTTCATCTGTGAAATGAATTGTTCTTAACTTCATGTTACTTTTATATTCTTCATAATCATCTTTTAAAAAATAATTTTTGTTTTGATGTGTCAGTTCCCTTTTCCCCACTTTTATTGAACAGCAATGGCAACAGTTAAAAATAAAAACATTTGAGTAGGTACTTATTTTTTGCCTCATCAAGTTCTCACTGTTACAAAATAATGTGTTTAAGTCTTTCTGTTCTATTGCATGGTGATGTAGTAACAGCAATAAGAAAGCAACTTTACCTCTCCTGAACAACTAGCAGATTTCCAAAGGGGCAAAGTGATTGTCCTTTTAACAGGACAAAGCACTATGGATAATATAAAGGATCATTAATGTATAGAGATGGGAAAAGATGGACAGATCAGACCCTGTGGTTCCCTCTTACAATGAAAGCACCCTAAGGTACATTAAATGGCCAACAACTCTTGATGACATTTCAGCATTTCTGGCTAAGAATGATCTGACCACTTGAGATGGTGAGTTGCAGGCACTCTGGCTAAGAATGATCTGACCACTTGAGATGGTGAGTTGCAGGCACTGGCTGTTGTGTTCACAAACTGTTTTGGTCATAGTATGCCCCATCTTTCCTCGTCTTCTGGAGCCACCTTACTGTGCAGATGGAGAAGGGCATTGGGACAATTTGTCGCTAAATTGTGCCCCTCCCCAAAGTAGGAGAAAGGTATTTTCCATTCAGAAATCTGGATTTCAATGTAAAAAGTTCTGGAATCAATTTTAGTTGAAGATGTTTTTTCTAAGTTGTATTATAACATGAATAGTATAAAATGGTAGTTCTTATGAGCTACTTAAGCATAATGCAGAGTTCAGCTTTGCTTTCTGGGCTCTGGCCTTTGACCCTTGGATGCACTTGCAGTGACATTTTATATAGTTCGAGGAGGAAGCACCTGCAGTTAATGTGAAACTTGGGCTTTCAGCTAAAAAAAGATGACAACTAAGCACTATTGAAAATGAGCTGAATAGACTTAAAGCAAGAGAAATACCCTGAAAGGAGGTTCACATTTTCCCCATTTAAGTAAGCTACAGAGCGGCCTGGCTGGGAGCTGGGGGAATTGCCATGAGGTATTGTGCAGAACCAGCAGTTCAAGAATGCTTTAGTTTTCAAATGTACTATTAGTTAAAAGTCAGAGCTGCAGGATGGGAATGCTGCCAGATGAAACTGCTGATTCCTGCAAGGTAGTCAGCATACAGTTAGAGATCTGGGGATTAATTCCCAACCCCACATGTCAGCAGCTGCTTGGGCACATGAGGAGCTGGCACTGCAGAGCTCTTGCACAGTCCGTGTTGCCAGTCCAGAAGCAGCAGCCTCCTTCCTCTTCCTGCCTCTGGTTAAAAATACCCTTTGGATTTTTCATCTGCCTTTTGTTTAGACTTTTGCAGGAAGAAGCCATTTTGTACTAAAACTTGTAGGGTTTTAAAACCAGTCACCAAATATAGTAGCAAAATTGCAGTCAAATCCTACATGCTGGCAGCACTTCATGTAGCTTGTGTATCCTGTCATATGATCTAACTTGGTGAAAAAATAAACATGCTCAGCTGAAGCACTTAGAAACTGAAAGTTTGCCTGAACACTTCTGCAACAAAGATTTTGTTATTTAATGCCACACTGAATCTGTGCTGAAAGTTTTTACTCAAGTTATTTGTACATTTTTCTCTAGTTATTTTTGGATGAAAACCCTGATAGATCCACCTAGCTTCAGAGCAAAGTATCATTTAGGCCCTTTTAGTGCAAAAAAATATTACAAGTTTAATTACAGTCAAAAGGTTTGATAAAAGGAGTAATTTTTCAATTGAAGGTGTTTTTACTGTGAAAGAAAGGCCAAGTCAGAGTAAACATGCGAGCAGAAATCTGCTGAACACTAGCAGAGTATGGATACAGATTTCTGAGCTGATTCCTGAGGCTCACTTTATAGCTGATGGAGAGAACTGGGAATTCCTCTTGCCTGGAATGGATGTTAGCTGTTCACCAAACAAATCATGCTTTAAAAGTTCCTGGATTTTTCAGTTATCTTCAAAGGGAGATTAAGCTAAGTCCTCTGTGTTCTAGACCACCCTAATTAGGTATTTTTCTATGTATGTATGTATGTATGTACAGCTGCATCTGATATACATAGCTCTCTATACCTGAGAGAAATGGATCCTGCATTTCCCCTCAGTTTAAAAGAATTACAAGAATTGCAGTCAATATAGCCTCTTATTGTTAACAGTAAGATCCTTGAAGAACTGATTTTAAAGGTTTAAGAAGGGAGCTCAGCCAGTAGGAATGGGAATCAGAAAGGTCAACGTGCAGAGTTGGGGAATGCACACTAAGAAGTATCCAGCAGGAGCCCACAAAGAGGGAGTTACTCCAAAACCTCACATTTCTCTGGGAGGCAGAACACCTGACTGACACAGGGATTCAGTTTTTGCACGAAGGTCTGATGCGTCAGTGTTCTTACAAATCTCAGGGAATTATGCTAGGTAATGTGACACTGAACTACTATTTATTTCTCTGTGCAGGTCATATAATTGTATGAGATGAGTGTATAAATAGTTAGGTGATTACCTAAAGTCAGTTTAGAGTGGGGATTGTATGCTTTGTAGGCGGTCTTGTAAATTCAGCTACAAATTATTTATTCTAGAGAAGGTTTGAAATCACAGAAGCTTATGATAATACAGTAGTTCTTTGTACAGAGTAATCACACCCTGCTTTTAGAAATTCACAACATGTAGAAGGGTTTGCCTCATTTATTATGCTAGCCTTTCAATACAGACAGTTGGCTGCAGAATTAAACTCTTAATGGAATTAAGAAATCTAATATTCATATGCCTGTATTGTCAATGGGAGCAGATATGACTTACTTGCAAGAGAGATCATCATGGTACTCATGACTAATAGAGTGTCAGCTTTTAAAATCCTCTGTGTGAATTCAGACATTGGAAATCTGGATTCAACAAGTGCACCTCTTCCTCATTGATAAAAACAAGCATGGCATTATGCGACCTATGCCCTGTAGCAGTTGCACAGATGGATGGTTCCTCTCAGGAAAGCAATTACTGTCTGTTCTTCAAGCTTAGTTCTAAGGCAACCATCTCACAAAATGGGGGGCTTTGGCAGCTGACTTTTAATTAGCATTATTTCAGAAATGAAGAAAGGTAGTGGGGAAAGAAGTTACCAGATTACTTTAATTGACTAAGCAAGCAAGTGCCTGATCTAGACCATTGATGCAGAGTTAGTGTGGACTAACAAGATGTTTCACAATGTGAAGTCAAAATAAAGGTACATATTTTTCACCTTTGCTTTGCTCCCTGAAGAATGAGGAGAGTCACGCCAATTAGTTGACTCAGTCTTCTGGCGTCATTGCTGTAATAGTTCAGATGGTTTCCTGGTTCAGAAGACATGTGCAAAGAACCAAGTCAAAGCTGAAGCTGTGTCCAAGTGACAGCTGTTCATGACTCTGAACCTCCCTGATTTAGTTACTCTATCTTTAGCAGCTACAGATAATGGCAGAAATTTTCTCTGGTGCATATTCTTCACCATGCAAATTGCAGAGCATACTGGATAGCTGGAGGCAGTTGCAAACTATCTAGATTAAAAAATATTTTGTTCCTGTGCCACTATTTAAAGAGAAAAGACTGGCCATAGTCTTTGACCCATGCAGCCAGTTTTTCACTATCTCTTTAGGGCTTCAGGCCCCAGATTTTTTGTCACTTTTTCTGTATGTGACTTCCTCTGCACGTCCCTTCACTTTAACCTACTTCCATAAGCTTTCTTATGGGAAGGGAGCACCTGTCCTCACAGTTACACATCAGGCAGAGCCCAAGCAGTCAGGATTATGTCTGCTGGACTGCCTTTAAAGAGTCTTTCCACCCCATCCATTCCAAAACTGTTATGACTTTAACGTGCACTTGCATGTTCCTGCTTGCATACAGCTGCTTGTATACAGCTCTGACTGACTCAGCAATAGAAATAAAGGATTGGTGAGCAGGCTCTTAATTTAAAGCTCCCCAAAAAGCACTACATGACAGTCTGTGTAAGCTTACTGTGTCATTAACCAAGAATATTGAGTTACCAGCTCTCTTCACCAGCCCCCTGTAGATATCTGGGACACACAGGAGTTTCTCAATTGGTTAGTGGAAATCTGGGGCTTGATTCAACTGCACAGACATAAGCATCTGATGCTGTCTGAGATACCCTAAGGTACACCAGATATCCATACAGAGCAGAAAGGTATGGGATACTGGTGCCATTCTGAACAAAGCAGCAGCACGAGGCCAGGTGAAGTGCCTAGAGTGCCTTCAATGACACAAGGGATCCATGTGGACTAAAGCCCCAACCACAACAGTCAGGAGAGCCCAAAGAGTGGCTCTGCTGACCAAACACACCTACCCTCTGGCAAATTGCATTGCTCTCTGGGCTCCAGCTGACTGTACCAACCTCATCTCCACTGCCTGATACCAGGTCACTCTTTGCATTTTCAGCTGCTTGGGCTCTACAGCCCAGCCCTGGTAGGGCTCAATTCCAGAGCCTTGGTTTGGCACTCTCAGAGAAAGAGCTGCACAGCAGAGCCACACAAGGTACGACAGACCCAGAGATGGAGGTAGGGCTATTGACACACAGTCCAGGGAAAAGGCAGCGGTGTTAAAAAGGTGTAAAATGCAGAAAAGAAAAGGCAGAGAGTCCAAGATGGCAGTTTGGTGACACTTGAGCCAGAGAATACTCATCTGTTGTCTTGCATAGGGAGGTGAGCATGTTAATGCTTAGC